GCAGCCACGGGCGAGCACTGCCGCTCCGCACCGCGGGCAGCGGCAGAACCTCCCCCTCGACTCGGAGGACGGTGCCAGCTCCGCGTTCCCACTCCACATAAGAACTCCTCCCGCTCGGTCCCCGAGCATCACCGTGCGAACAGCTCGGACACACACCCCGAGCCGCAGGGCGCGCTGAGCAGCACGTACCAAGTGGTCATGCTCTAGGAGACCCCCCTGAAACTCCCCAAAATATCGAATTCAGAGCATTTGCTAGATTCTCCCATCTTTAGGATAATGAGATCATTCATTCGTGTGATAATATTCAGCATCTCGCTTGAGGCTACCCAGAGGTTTTAATTCAAAACTACCTTGATCAGGATGTATAATCTGCTTCAGGAATATCCCTATCCAACGTTGCCAGCAAAGCCACGATGGTAACAGAAATAACACTGATAAAGTTTCCCATATTGCTTTTTTTCCCCCCCATTTGCACTGTGAAACAGTTTTAAACTGAAAACTTTACATTCAAGGGCTTTTACATTTCAGTTTCATATCTACAGACTTATTTCATCAACAAATGAAAGACCTCTTGAGGTTTGGCCTGAGAACACTTAAAAATGAACAATAACAAAAAAGAATTAACTGAAAAGTATCCTATTTCAGGAGGAAGAAAACCCTCTGAATGAAAACCTTCAGAGGCAAGCTGGGAATTACTTCACACATGTTTTTTTGATACAAAGTGATGGCTGTAAAGGAAGGCTTTACTATTTTATTTTGAGAGTTAAATTCTATTCCTTTGCTAGTCTATTATTTTAAATAATTTTGAACTTAATTTCTTTAAAAACCAACACCATAAGACTCCTGCAGTCAGACAGACTTACCTTGTGTAATCAGATCACAACGCTGCTTGTGCATTGTGTCCAGTTTCTCTGCCACTTTCTAAACTGAAATTTCAGCAATATCAAGCAAGTTTCAGATGCTAACAATGTCTAGGAATTTGCATTTCTGATAGATTACTCTGCACCAGAAATTTTGTAAGTGAGGTGGAGGTATGAAATGAGAGTACATCTGCTGAAAGGCAAAGCTGATATAATGCTGAACATCTTTCCCTGACATCTTCGTCTCCCAATGGCTTCTGAATTGCAAATGCACAACAAAGCAAGCAGCATGTTTGCCTACCACAGAAGATATAACACTAAGAAACAAACACTGAAGCAAGTCCACTCTCATGCTACCCAAACTCACCTAAAGGTTATGAGGTATTCAATTTTGGCAGATTAGTGAGGAGTGAACAAAGTTAGGCTAAAACATTACTTAAAATTGGATTTGAAAAATATCAGCTTCAATTACTGAACATTCATCAGTAAGCCACTAAAATTCAACAGCAAGGGTTTTCATCATAACAGTGAATGCAGAAGCAGCTCTATGAATAACTCTTTGCATTTCTCCTCCTTTCACAGCTTCACTATTCCCAAAGACACATGGCTACTCACATCCTTCTAGCAAGAGAGGAACCCACTACAAACAAAATGCTACACTGATGTTACATGTACTTACACCTATATAAAGCACACACACCTGCTTGCAGGTAATGCGAGTGGACAGTACACATACAGCCACATGTGTCTGCTTACATGAAACTAAGTTGATTAGTATGACCTCAAGTGTTACACCAACTAGACACTGTGACAGTGACATAACCAGCAACAGCCCTTCCAGGCAACTCTTATTATTACACCAGAATGTACACACCAAAGCTGCAGGTAAAAACCTCCAAGACCTGATTTAGCAAAAAAAATCTTCAGCATATACTTAACTTTTGGCAGCACTGTTAATCACCACTTGCTTAAGTCAGTATGTCACTTCATAAAGGCATTTGTGAAGCCAAACCCGGATTTAAAAAAGATCTGATTCAACTTGTATTTTAAAGGAAATCAGATTTTTCTTATAAAGGACTCCAGAAATGAACTAAAAAGAACATACTCAGGCTCCCAACAGCAAATGCACCCCACTACATACTGCTCCTAACTCACATGCATTGGCCTCTGATATTGAGCACCAGAACCTGTTTGCTCATGGACTGCTTTAAGTAAAGTCCAGGCTGGCCATTTCAAACCTTCTAGCTTGGTGTGGGGGAGTCATGTGTCTCAGGTTCAGTCAAAGAGGAAAGCTGCTGTGTGTTTCCTATTAGCCTCCCAGATCTCACTTGTTTCAAGTCCACGTGTTGCAGCATGTTCCATCCTACCAGCAAAACTCCAAAAACTCTCATCAGCTAGAGGAGTAATCACCTGGAGTAATCAGACACCAATTTTTAGTGCATCTTCCTGTCACTTTTGTCCCCTGCTGAAAGTCAAAGGGTGATGAACTCAACCACAGCAGCACATCAAGGTTGCTCAATTAAGGTAAAGCAAATGGCAAAGCAAAAATCCTAAAGCAATCCAAAATACATCTGCTCCTACCAAATCTAACCTGGTTTGATCAGCATGAGTCTGCTGTAACAGGCACAGACAAGCAGGTCAGACCTTGCAGCCCCATGCAGAGGCTTTGGGTCCTCAGCAATCTGGGATACAGCCACAGGTTCAGAGAGCTCCACAAAAGCTGAAGATCAAAGGGATGAAGGAGTGGACAAGGAAGTGTCCGATGTAAGACCTAAGTCCAAAATTCTTTTAAGTTCCCTCATCTGCAAATAAGGGGATTTCATTAGTAACTCAGAGGAAAGTGAACAAGTGGCAGGTACAGTATCTGTTACAGCAGAGGGAAGCCAAGCTGGCTGAGAGAACACACTCAGAAAAAAAGAACACAAAGTTGGTCTGGCAATGTACTCTTTTCAATCAGCAGCATCCCAAGCCTGCAATTTAAGGGCAGACTCAGACCCTGAGGTATCAGGGCACTCTGCCACAGACTGCACCAGCTATTAAACACCCTGGAAAGCAGGGCACTTTGCTGGATGGTGACAGATTTCCACCCAAATTCTGGCTCATGCCAAAAGGACTGGCCTACTTGCAAAATGCCACAAGGTCACCACATTGCAAGGGTAAGAAAAAGTGTGTCAAATACCCGCCTGTCTTTCTAGTTGAGTCCCTGACAGGTTCACAGGAAACGCAAACTGGTTGTCTTTGCTGTCATTCTGACACAGGAGAGAAAAGTCAAGTCGTTCAAAGCTAAAAACAGGTTTAATGTCTTCTGACCTCTCATACCAAACACCTTTGCCCAGATACATTTTCTATCCTGTTCATTCTTTCTTGATTTAGGGGTTAGTTTCAATGGACTCTACAAAAAGGCCAAACAGCCCCCAAAGAAGTTATATACAGATAATTTGTTTTCCTTGCCTTCCTTCAGCACTACTGAAGGCATAGTCAAACTTCTGTTAGCTCCTAAGCCTTGTGCACATGGTCATATGAGATCCTTCTTTTGCTCTCCCATAACCCATGAGCTTCCCTGCAGATAGCTCAGCAATGACACTCCTGCTGGTGAGCACATTACTGACACAAAGTGCTGGACATCTCCAGATAATTGTGTTGTATAGTTCAACACAAACAATGCATGCCAGAATTATTTCAAAGGGGGTAGTTTTGAGCAGCATTCATCCACAGGGAATGCTGGCAGGTCTAGCTGAGCATTCCTGTCTCCTCAGAGGGTAAAACACACACTTTCAGATTCTAAATTTGTGCACATGACAGCTCAGGGCTCTCCCACAATAACCCTTGGTAGCTCTTTTCTTCATCCAAAGTTTCCATCCAAAGACACAGGTCAGACAAGAGACAGTGCAAGAGCTCTGGGACATCACAAGCCAAAACATCTGAGATCACCCCCTGTGAAACATGAGGTTTGTTATCTATATTATAATCCACAGACAAAAGACAGAAGGTATTTCCTGAGCAGGGAGCAAGACACTCTGCCTCTACGATGGACCGAGTGGTCTGAGCCAGATGATGACTGCACAGGCATTTTCTTGGCTGGGCACCCCTACTCCAATGTTGTGCTGTGACCAAGTGTAGGACAGCTCCCTGACTGTTTCTCAAGTGAGGAACTGGCCAATGCACCCTATGGAGAGAGGGGAACTGGCCAATGCACCCTATGGAGAAGGGCTGGTAGCTAACTGGGAGGCCAAGGGTCCTGGCTGTGAACTTGAATGCTCTGACAAATTAAGGGGCCACCAGCCAAGTTAGTCAATGAGAGCTCTTCTGTATGTGCATTCTCAAAGACTAAATGGCTCTGACGCAAAAAGGTGATCCCCTTTCTCTTCTATTCATTTTGCTTTCCCCTCCATTAATTCCACCTGAGGGAAAGTACAGACACCTCTCCACTTCATCCTTCTAATAGAGTATTAATCGTATCTATGGGAGGTGATGGAAAGAAAGACAAAGTATTAAATCTGACAGAGTGGCAGTGCCAGTGAAATGCATCATTAAGGTGAGCAATTTTCCTGTTTACTTCATAGGCTCCAAGGCCCCCCCCGCCTTCCTCCCTGCTTAAGATGTGGGCAGGACCCATCAAGGCAAAGCTTTGGAAGCAAGCAGCAGCGTCCCCAATTTCTACATAAACGCTGCAGGCCAAAGAGCAAAGGCAAGTTCCAACTGAGCCCTTGACAGTAATCAAGCACTGCGGCGCCTCTGGTCTTGTCTTGTGCATACCTTGCAAGTAGCATCATGTCTTCCCGGTGAGATTTCACTGGCAGTGCACACAAGTGCCTTGTTCCTTGGCTTCTATCTCAGAAAAAGAAAGTCCTGAAAACATATACACACACACACACCCCCGCTTTTCTGCTCCAAGGGAGACCGTTTCCCTCTAAATCTTCAGTGTACTGTTAGCAGCCCTTTCAGAACAGATTTATGAATTTGCCAGAAATCTCTTTTGTTCCTGTGCAGAAAGAAAGGTTAGCACCAGTCCCTTGCCAAAACGGCATTGAGTCTTCCCTGTTAACGTCCAGGAAACTATCCTGAGTCAGACCTTATTACATTTGAAACAAAGTGCAGGTACCAGCAAGTCTCTTCCATGATAACAGCCAGGGCCTGTCCCATTTCCTGATCACATTACGCTCAATTTCCAGAACTACATCTATGCAAATGTTATTCTCCTGCTTGCAGAGCACTTCATTGATAATTAAAGTGAAAAGCCAGCAAAGTTTTTCTGGCCATGATGGTGTGCAAGGCAACAAACTAACAGGTAGACACAAAGCAGGGACAGATGTTCTTCCTCTGCACGAAGACCATCAGGTAAGAGCCCTCTCCTCCTAGAAGACAGAGGATCCAAACTGAACCAAAGCATTTCTGCAAATATCCCTCTGTTTTCTGAAATTACTGACCCAACAAGGCCATACTTTTGTTCTGAGTCACAGAGAAAACATAAGAATGAGGAAAGACAAAAATTACAACTAACTGAGCAAGTCATACTTTTCCTGAGAACATAAAGATGTAGTAATGCCAATCTAAGCTAGATCAATAAAGCATGACAGCAGCTCCAGCATACTTAGAATGAGTGGTGACTAAGTCAAACCTTTAAACCTTTTATTCATACAGTTAAGCTCTGGGGATGAATGGCGACAAAGTAAGATGAGAAGACAGTCACTAGCTATTACCAGCATTTGCAGGGTTCTGGGACCTGTAGTTCACCCATATCCTTCTCTTTCTCAACCCTCTCCTTCCATCCTCAATGACCTAGCTAAGCACAGTCCTTGAGTCAACTCATGTGGTTTCTCCTGAGCCTACTTTCAAAGTGAAGACATGATTCAGCAAGGTGTTTAAGCAGATGCCTACCTTTAAGGATGGGAGCAGCCTTGCTGACTCCAACAGAACCCAATAGATCTCACTGGGAATATTCACGTGCTAGAGGTTATGTACTCGTTCAAGTGCCTTACTGAACTGAGACCTTGATTTTCCTACGCACCGTGGGAAACAGTTCATCAAGTTCCATGCCGAGGAACATAGCAGTGCTGCTGCTGCAGACATCAGGCCATCAAGATGTCCCCACTCTAGAATGCAGAACCTCACCCCCAGGCAGTTAGTGAGGTCAATGCTGTGGCATCTCCTCTGCTAGGAAGAGCAACAAGCCCATTCCAGGCTTGGGGTATACCTCAATTTTTTTTCTCATGTTCTCCAACAGCCCTGAAGCTATTCAACTAAGCTAAAGGAAGAAAGCTCTTCTGCAGAGCAGCATTTAGAAAGGGAGAAAGACTTGCAATGAGTTTGGAAAAGGTTAGCAGCAGTCCTTCCTATCCCTCAAAGAAATAATCTTCAGTTTTGCGTTCTCTTAGGAGTAGAATAAAAAAAACCAAACCACATCCCAGTGGACATGCAAGCCAAAGGAAAGCGTGCAGTAACATATCACATGAGAAAGGGAAGGCTCGAACACAGCAAAGTCCATCCCTGTTTTAGCTGATTTTCTAGGTTGCTTTGAAATTTCAGCAAGAAAGCACAAGTGCATAAAGCAAGCTTGCATGGGCCTGGATGCACTATACAGGCAGATCTATCCAAAGTCTGCTAGACAAATTCATCAGGAATGATTGCCCAAATACTCCATGACATAGTAACAGATATATAAATTACTGGAAATAGGTTACATCAAATCTCTCAATACCTAGTAATCGATATATTTCACTTGGTAACAAAGATAATGATGTAATCTGCATGATCTAATTGGAAACATAACAGGAATTAATGTGGATTTCGATGCAAATCCTTATTAACACAACCTGAAGATGTCTTTCCAAGGAAAATGACAGACAGCTCTTTGTCACTGCAGACCTCACTACCTCTGCACTGCTTCATTTGCAAACTGCAAGTTCTGAAGACCCCCAAGCAACAGATGCTTTGTGAGAAGACCTAGCTCATTCAAAGCAAGACTGCTTTCCCAAACAGAAAACAGTCTTTGTTAATGGATAACAATGAGAACAGGAATAATTCCCTGGGAAACATAATTTTAAAGTCAGATTTCCCAACTAACCACACCCAATTAATAAGTAATGCCATGTTTTTAAGTGATTACGGAATTCACCAGTCTCAATTTTGTGATTTTCTCCATCTTTCCAACAAGAAAAGGAAACAAAAACCCCTCATGTCGTTATATGGGTGGAAGGTTACTAACGGCAAGCCCCTTCCCTCCATAAAAAGAAATAAAATGGAACAAAACAACACAGACTTGCAACATCAGAAGTTATTGGCTCACACTGACCGGCACTCCCATTTTCCCTAC